AAAATCAAACCTTTAACTAAACTACACAAAAACAAACCTTTAACTAAATTACACAAAAACAAACCTTTAACTAAACTACACAAAAACAAACCTTTAACTAAATTACACAAAAACAAACCTTTAACTAAATTATACAAACTTTAACTAAACTACACAAAAACAAACCTTTAACTAAACTACACAAAAACAAACCTTTAACTAAATTACACAAAAACAAACCTTTAACTAAATTACACAAAAACAAACCTTTAACTAAATTATACAAACTTTAACTAAACTACACAAAAACAAACCTTTAACAAACAAACTCTAACACGACTGAAAATGTGAACATGTTTGGAAAAATGTTCTTTAGGTATCATTATCAATATTCTGTCACCCACTGTTCTGATAAATTACACTGAACATGAAGTTATAAAAATTTCAAATATTGTGAAGAAGTTTCAGGCTAACTAGGTTATACCAAATTTGATGTTCTTTTTTATATGTTTGGTATATAAGATTGGATGATGTTTTAGCATCCTCAAGAAGTGGACTTAGCACAATGACTGAAAGTCATATATTCTTACACTCCAGAAAGATGCAGTTTATCAATATTTTAAATCCAGTAAAAACATCACTGCTTACCTAAAATTACTTATAAACATTATTTTAAATGGGCAAAACACACATAAAAGCTGGCAAGTTTTCTGATTTGCGTAGAAATTAATAGTTCACTCTCTACATTTATAAATAATTTAAGAGAATAGCAGATGTTTTTACAGTAAAAAAACAAAGCCTACCTTTTTAAGTTCATCTTGCCATGAATACTGAGATTGATAAGGACGTCCAAAGATAATATCAATTGAAGTTCTTCCATTATAAATATTTTTTGCTTGTTCAATAACCCTTAAAGCTTCTTTGACTGAATGGTTTCTACCTAACAGCAGTAAATCTCTGTCATTCAAAGCCTGTAAATAGCACAAAAAAAAGAAAGAAAAACCAAACTTCAACTAATAACTGTTTAATTAGCATCTACTACATTACATGGATAACATTAATTCTAGAATTAAAGGTCGAGCCTACTGGATTCCAACAGTTATTTAACACATTTTATGTACCTAATAGTTCTGAGTCCGTGCCTTAGTTAGATGACCTCTAAGAACATATGTGTCAAACCACAAAAAAATGTAAAATAAAACTCACCAACATTGAAATTAATCACATTAATTACTGATTGAATCCCTTATGTTACAAAATGAATTATTTCAACCAATGTTTCAGTTAATTCTTCATAATGAGTGTTAAAGCAAGCACATTAAGTCACATTCAAAATGAGGCAGTAGGAACACCAAACTGCAGGTGAACGATATAAAAGGACAAAACTATAACCCACACTTAAAGGTTAATATCTTTACTAACCTCCTATACCTTACATAACATATTCTATTATTTCACAAACTTTATAAGCAAAGTTATCTTGGTTTGATTAAAGATACACACTTTCTTCTTCTTAGTTCCTGTCGTTCCTAGTGGAACATAGGGCTACAACAACACTTCGCCGACGGAAGTGTTGTTGCAGTTTCCGTAGCAGATTGTTATCGGGGTGGAGTTGCTAGCCCCACGCCCAAAAGGGCATGTTTGTTGCGACAAGGACGCGAACCCGCGACCCTCGGATTGCGAGTCGAGTGACTTATCCAGCGGGCCATGCCCGGCCCGATATACACTTTAGTACATGTAAAATAAATGCATTTCATTTATGGTTTATATATCCAAAAGCAATCTGACATTTATTCTACTGAAAATAATTGTACTTATTTTGAAAAACAATTATTGTATAGCTTTTCTCAGGTAAAGCATCATTGTTAGCGCTTACCTGTATTCCAATAGAAACCCTGTTTACTCCAGCTAACTTAAACTCCCTGAAAAGCATAAACAAATATACTTGTATTCAATTAAACTCCCTGTAAAACACGAACAGATAAGACTTGTATATTAGATTCACTAGAGTATAAAACAATGTACATACACAAAACAGCATAGAGCAATCGTTTATACTGAAAAAAAAAAAAGATATATTATGTTGACTAAACAACCAGTTAAGTCTTCTAGGCAACAGTATTTTGTTGACTAAACAACCAGTTAAGTCTTCTAGGCAACAGTATTTTGTTGACTAAACAACCAGTTAAGTCTTCTAGGCAACAGTATTTTGTTGACTAAACAACCAGTTAAGTCTTCTAGGCAACAGTATTTTGTTGACTAAACAACCAGTTTACTCTTCTAGGCAACGGATGGTTTATAACTAATTTTTAACAGAGAATTTGTCTTGATAACATTGACTGACTTCCATTATTTCATTGATGTTTACAATACCAATCAGGGGATCAACGTGGTAAATACTGGCCCGATTACTTTGTACTAAATGTTGAAAAGAACAGGATGACAGAATTCAAGTTTAAGATTTGGAAGAAGACAGGCTAGGCTATGGTTAAAATAGTTTTATTTTTCTTACAGAGTAATTAGTTTATGGAATGATTGCCAATAATGAAGACCAGCAATTAAAAAGTTTTGAAGATGGGAACTGATGATTTTCTAAAAATGAAAAGGGTGGATACAGATATCAACTTTTTTCTCAAGATTGGTTGTATAGAAACAGCTATGCAGAACCTAATGGTTCCTTGTCTATAATGTTATATTATATAAAGTCGTCTGATTACTAGCGGGTAAAGGTTATCAATGATTCAATCAGTTTTATTTTAACCATTCCCTTACTGAATAGTAAGTATAATTTATCGAATTAGTTATGGCACGCACATCTCGTAAGTCTCATACTTAATAACTATTTAAAATAAGTATAAGAACTCGCACAGTCATGAATAATAATAAAAAATACCTTAACCTCTGTGCTTCCAATGTTGTGGGATTGCATTCTAAAGTAACTTCGGCATCGTGAGGGACAGCTACTAAGTTTTTTACACAGTTTATAACACTTTCTATTGTGTGAGGTTGAGCGAGGCTCGGAGTTCCTAAAAGTGGTGTCGAAGAAGAAAAGAATAGTGGAGATCAATAATAAGGTCTACTTAAGGTGTAACTACTATAAATATGCTTTTATTACAATCACTTAAACACGATATCCGTTATTAAAGTGTTTACTATAAACATGCTTTTATTACAATCACTTAAACGCGATATCCGTTATTAAAGTGTTTACTATAAACATGCTTTTATTACAATCACTTAAACGCGATATCCGTTATTAAAGTGTTTACTATAAACATGCTTTTATTACAATCA